AGTGAGTGAGTGAGAGTGTGAGAGTGTGAGAGTGTGAGAGAGTGAGAGAGTGAGAGAGTGAGTGAGTGAGTGAGTGAGAGAGAGTGATCTGGGCACAAACCTTTTCACTACAGCCACAATCACAGTGTTGTGAGAGCAGCTGATGGCTCGAATTGAGCTGAGAAAAAAAATGAAGATTAGAAACAACAACAACACACACACTTCAGCATTTCTGAGACACAAACCTGAAACACAATGAATGTACAAAAAAACATTTACATTTTCAAGCAGGCCATGTGAACACTGCATACAGTGGGATTCCAGTGGACATAATTTCTTGTGGTTAAATTACACTTTAAACTTATTATAGTTGAGAATGCGGTACATTAATACCCGAGAACGTACAGTACGAGCGGTCGAGAGTCAACTCTTCAACACCGAAGAGCTGTTCGGTTAAAGTGGAAGTGAAGCAGTCAGTCAAGTTTACATTATTTAGTAAACTGATTTCCACTGATTAAAATATATAACAAAGACAATTCATGTAACCATTTTAAATAAAAAAGGATGTTTTGTTATAGCGTTTGACCGCAGCGTGTGACGTCACGGGGTTAGTTTGACGCTTCTCAACATTACAACTGATCCGATGGTTTTGAGTCACATTTAAACTTTGCACTTCAAATAAACCATTTATTTCACAGTGCATGCAGCTTCATTAGGATTGAAGGTCAATGTCTCGATCAGTTTCCAGACCCTTCACCCTCTCTGTTCCTCTGTGGTGGAATGAGCCCCAAACTCCGACACGTACCGACAGAGCGCTTCAGCGTCGAAGTATCTGGAATGTCTGTGATCGATGATGATCAGATCGTGGTTCTTCTCCTGAAAGCTCTCCAGCGCCGCTTCTGGCGTTCGGGCCACATTACACCTGAAACCAGCGCGTTCACACGCCCAGCAGAAGCTGTGACTCTGAGCATCGTCTTTGGCAAACACTAACAGTACCTGAAACACACACACACACACACACACACACACACACACACACACACACAGAGCTGTCATCAGTGTGAGACAGTGCTGGATAAAAACACATTCAGCCACAACAACAACTTCCATCAATAACAGGAACATAATACGAGCTGATTCACTGGAGTGGTTCAGAAGAATGAAACACTGTGTTTGTGTGGATGGACGGCTCGGACGCTCGGCGTGTGTTCTGAGGGAATGTGGGATCAGCTGGGAGGACAAAAACAGGAAGAGGAAATCACTATTTCACTTTCCATCAGTAATTAAAACTCTGCAACAGGCACAACACCTCAGCAAGAACCTCAACACTTACTGCTAACCTCACGCTAACGCTAACCCAACACTAATACTAACCCAATGCTAATGCTAACCCAACATATATTCCATTAAGGGTGCTCCGATTGATCGGCTACTGATCACTATCGGCCGATAATCGCTTTGGGATGATCGATCGGCGGTCTCTATAAAGAACGATCTCATAAACAGATCTCAAGCAGATGACGCTGCTGTGAGAGGTTTGGCATGACATGCAGCGGCACTGTCTTAGTCTTCGTCTTCATATTTCTTTATTTAATGCGTGTTATTAAATAACTTTATTTATAACTTAAAAGTAATTTGTAAACCTTGTGTGAGGCTTACAAACAGCGTGAGTGAATCATCGCGCGCACTCTCTCTCAAAATACGCAAATGGCTTCGAATCACCACACATCGCGTCTAAACGCGAGCTGCATGCTGCACAGGTAACACAGGAATCGTCACTTGCAGAATCGAGGCAGTGTCACATTGTCACTAAAGTTTATAAATTGCATTACTTTTTAATTCTTGGACAGTGTTCGCACGCTCTCCTGGAGACTGAGCTCATGCACACCCGCAGCGCACACACATAACGCCAGGTTCACATTACTCTGTTTGCAGTGCGAATGTGGTGCATATTTCTCTGCGCTCATGTTAACAGATTAAAGCGTGCACACTGCACACGGTTACGGTCCGGCGGTGCGTTCAGGAGCGGTGCGTCTGCAGCAGAGCAGAGATAGTTTCCACACCGAGTCTACTGCTGCGCTGCAAGCACTGAATTAAAGTAACAGCTCATTGTTTGCAGTAAATATGAACATGGATTGACACTAAAATTGAGTAATTACACCATAAATGCATCAAATCAAAGTCTACTTTGTTTCACAGTCAACACATATGGCTTTTTAGCTAGGTTTAAAGGAAAAGAGCACTTTTAGACAAACAATAATAATAGATTGTATTACTGTACTGTGTAAAAAAAGAATTGCAAAGCTGAAAAAGCATTTTCAGTGACAATGTTTGGATTTGAAATCAAACTAATGGATAAATGTAGTGTTTGTGGTAAACAGCTGTGGATCAGTAGCGGACTCCTGTGTGAAAGCTGCTTCTCTCACCAGAGACACCTAAGAGGGGAATTACCCACATTTTCAAAAATGAAATTCAGGTCCTGAATTAATGTCTAAAAATCCTGGTTGAAGTATCACTACAAATAGTTATAAATGATAAAAAAGAAGGCTTTAAAAAGATCAGTATCGGTGATCGGTATCGGCAGATACTGCTTTCTGTGATCGGTCTCAAAAATCCTGATCGGAGCACCCCTAATTTCCACACTCCACAAAGTTTATGCACATTTTTAGAACTTAATGCACATCTTGGCATTTTCCATCTAGCATCTTTTTATGTGATATTCCAAAATGCATAGAAATACAGGTGGATGGAAACACAGATATTAATGCTAACCCAACGCTAATTCTAAACGAATACTAACGCCAACACAAACGCTAACACGAACCTAGCGCTAATGCTAACCCAGCACTAACACCAACCCAACATTAATGCTAAACGAACACTAATACTAACTCAACGTTATTGCTAAACGAATACTAACGCCAGAGGCGTTTTAACTACATTGTTCTGGAGTTCACTGGCTCATAGAGTATGGCTGTGAATGAAGTGAACTGTGAGTCACTGAGTTTGGGATTTTAGGGCACTGCGTGACGCCACTTGTCAAACCCCAGACTCTGTGCTCCTGAGTTTCTACACATTACAGGCCTTTCGAATCATTCTGACGCGTCTGTTGAAGGATTCACGGAGCGATAATTCACATCTTCTCATGGGAGCTCCAGAAACCTCAGGATACAGGAGTCAGGTCGTATTCACTCAACCTTCCTAGATTTAGCTTGAAGAATTAATGAGCGATAATGAAACTCCCAATATAGAACACACTCATGCACACACACACACACACACACTCTCTCTCTCTCACACACAGGTTTGTTTTTGTGAAAAGTGGGGACATCCCATAGGCGTAATGGTTTTTATACTGTACATACCGTATATTCTATTGCCCTACACCAACCCTACCCCTAAACCTACCCCTCACAGGAGACTTTCTGCTATTTCAGATTTTCAATACACTCCATTCTGTGTGATTTATAAGCGTTTTGAAAAGTGGGGACATGGGGTAATGTCCTGAAAAGTCACCTTCTCCTTGTAATACCTATGTCATACCTTTGTCATTATACAAATTTATGTCCTCATTTGTCACAAAAACGCGTACACACACAC